AAGGTAAATGTGTGATGCGACCCCACTGTGGAGTGGATACACCACCTCGTAGAGGGCTGAGTAAGCCCTCAGGAAAAAGGCCCTCAGACACATCCAAGAAGTCAAAGCTCCCCAAATCTTTTTGTGTTTGAGGTGGAGCTCCCAAGCTTCCCCTCCCAGGAGAACACCAACGTGTCGAGACTCAGAGCCCAGTTCAGAGCACTTTGATGACTCTCCCAGAGCCCCTGCTCTGGAGTCTGCCCAGATCCGCCCCACCAGGCCTATCATTTCTTACACAAATCACGACTGACATGCCGGAGATCAGCTGGGTGCCCAGAGGCAGTCAGTTCAATCTGGTTGGATCTGGAGTGTCAGAGTCTGCGCTGGGGAACAGCAGGGCTCCGGAACTTAAGGTTGGTAATGAACAGTATACCCCTTCCCCTTTTCATCCAACAGGAGTAAGGGGGAGCAGAGTGTGAAGACAGAGGTACCATTTGCTAGGAAAACTAAAGCCTTCAGAACTTTACCTGGCATGCAGAGTGATACCCTGCCAATGCCATGGCTTTAGATTTTTTTAATTTTAATTTTTATTTACTCTTTGGGATGTTCCCCAATATGCTTCTTAATAAAAGGCAAACACTGTGTCAGCTGAAGCAGAAATCCTTTATTGGTGAGGGAGCAAAAAACTGTAAAACTGCCCTGGCCGGTTTGGTTCAGTAGTTAGAGCATCGGTCCATGGACCAATGAGTAGCAGGTTCGATTCTGGTCAAGGGCATGTACCTCAGTTGCGGTTCATCCCTGGCGCTGGTCGGGTCGTGCGTGAGGCAAGCAGTCAATGTAGCTCTATCACATCGATATTTCTCTCTGTCTCTCTGTCTCTCCCTCCCTCCCTCTCACTCTGTCTGATGATAAATAGAAAAATATCTTCAGGTGAGGAATTAAAAAAAAAACACCCTGAGAAACTTAAATGCTCATCAGTAAAGAAGTGGCTAACAAAATTATGGTATATCCTTATATTGGAATACTGCGCAGCCATTAAAAAAACAAGGTGGAGGTATCTATTCTAATAGGGACCTCCCTCTGAGACATATTAAGTGAAAAAAAACAAAACAAGGAGCATAACAAGAAAATTAATCCTACCATTTGTCAAAAGGGAAAAGGAGCTACGGAGAAAAGCACATTTAGACAGGTTTATGTTTGTATTGCGCATCCCTGGAAAGATACATAAAAAATTCCTAGCGGTGGTGGCCTCTGTGAAGGAGAATCAGGGATAGATTCAGTGCATGTTTCTTTGTACCCTCTGAATATTTTTTTATACATGCTTGTATTAAACTTATAAAAAATAATATGAAAACCCCATCACCAGGAAACTGAAACAACAACAAACCAGTATTTCCCTTGTAGTAAAGCTGAGTGGTGAGTCATAGAATTACTGATGCTCTTGGTTTTGTTTTGTTTTTCTTTTCTGGAAAAAGAGTTTTGCAATCATTAAGTAAAGTAGCCCATATTTGAATTGGACTATTTCCCACACACTAGTGAAAGAAATGTTCAAACAATCTTTTAAGGACAAAGTGTAAATCAGTTCACGACAGTGCCTGGATTGGAACTTAGAGTTACAATGGCCCTGCTCATATTATATTAATCCAATAGAAATGTACTTGACTCTAAGACAATGAATGCGTAATAAAGGCTAAAGAGGAAAATAGCTTCATTAAAAAGTTTCAAATTTCTATGAGTAGCTAAGATTAAGCCAATTATTTGAAAAACTGTGGGATCCAGAATTTACAGTCAGAGAAAACATGAGTCAGGAGTATAGCTGGGTGATCAGAACTGGGTGAGATTTAAGTTTCTCTGTGGGGAGAAAAAGTGGCAGTGATCCTTCATTCATTCTACAAGCTTTATTACTGGCTCCTTACTCCGTTGATGGTAGGCATAGTGCAAGGTGCTGGAGGTATGCATAGAGGTATAACTGTCACTTTTCCTTGCCCAGAATCCATTTCCCCCTTTCTTAGTGACATCTTGATTTTCCTTTGGAAAACCACTCAATCCCTACTCTTGGTTGACTGGGATCCTTCAAAAGAGGCTAGCCTTGCACCCTATCCCCCAGGACCACCACCAAGCGTAGGTACCCGAGGGGTACTTGGTGTATTCTAAGTTCCTGACCACAGCGTTGTGCATGGGTCTAAAAGAAAAGCAATCTGGGACTCCCATGGGACTATCCAGAAGATGAAGAGCTCCCTCCAATGGAGGCTGAAGCTGTGAGAATGTGAGGCTGTCAGTACCTGACGAGGAGGCCAACAGAAAATAAAGTAGAGCTGAGAGACGGATTCTGGATACCATCATTTGAATACTGGGTCCAGCTATTTCAGAAATAGATCTACCCCTGGACTTTTTAAGTGCTAGGAACTGATAATAATTTCTTTTTGTTGTTGTTATTTAAGTCAGTTTGAGTAATATATTTGTCACTTGAAACCAGAATGCTCCTGACAAATAGAGGAGATAAGAGATTGTTCCTTTCTCGGAGGTGCGCCAGTCCTTTGGGGAGAGACAGACACAGAGCTGAGAGTTAGTTACCTTATGATGGGTGCTCTGCCAAGGTAAGTACCCGGTGTGGGGGGGACAGGAAAGGCGCAGATAATGTGGTGAGATACCTTAGAGTTGTAAAGAATCTTAGAGCTTATCTGAACAATTACTCTCATTCAAATAGAGACTTTGAGACCCAGACTCATCCAAGAGATGAGAAGTAGCTAGGAATGGTTCTGAACCCCTCTAGCGTGAAAGCAATTTTTAAATAGCATTTTTTCCTTATAACCAAAGATTATACATATTCATTGTAGAAAATATAAGAAAGGCCAAAGAATAAAATAGGAGTCACCCGTAATGCTCACTCATCAACCAATGATATCCACTGTTACAATGTTGGTCAATACCCTTGCAATCTTTCTCCATAAATTCCTTAACTTTTTTTTTTTTTTTTTTTTACAAAAATGGAATCATATTGTTTTTTAATATGCTTCTTAAACTCAACACTATATTATAACATCTACCCATGTTACTAGACATTCCTCAAAAATATTTATTTGGCTGCATAACTATTTACCCAATCTCCTCCTGGATGCTTAGGTTGCTTCAAATTTTTTGTTATTATATGCAATACTGAGATAAATTCCTTACAGATAAATCTTTGTGGCCATCCTGATTACTTCCTTCAGGCAAATTTCCATCCATGAAATTGCTAGATCAAAGAGTTCACAATTAAAACAACTATGAGGTATCACTTCACACCTGTCAGAATGGCCACCATCAACAAATCATCAAACAACAAGTGTTGGCTAGGGTGTGGAGAAAAGGGGACTCTAATACACTGCTGGTGGGAATGCAGTCTGGTGCAGCCACTATGGAAAACAATATGATGTTACCTCAAAAAGTTAAAAATTAAACTACCATTTGACCCAGTGATCCCACTTCTAGGAATATACCCTAAGAAACCTGAAACACCAATCAGAAAGAATATATGTACCCCTATGTTCATAGCAGCACTAATTACAATGGCTGAGATCTGGAAACAACCCTAGTGTCCATCAGTAGATGAATGGATAAAAAAGCTGTGGTACATGTACACAATGGAATACTATGCAGCTGTAAGAAAGAAAGATCTCTTATCCTTTGAGATGACATGGAGGGACCTGGAGAGTATTATGCTAAGTGAAACAAGCCAAGCAGAGAAAGACAAATATCACATGATCTCACTTATTTGTGGAATATAATGAACTAAACAAATTGATGAACAAAATTGACCCAGAGACATAGAGGTAGGGTACAGACTGACAAACCTCAGAAGAGGCGGTGTTGGGGGGGGGGGGAGATAAACCACAGAACTTATATGCATGTATGCATAACCAATGGACATAGATGAGAAATCTGGGGATGGAGCAGGGGGGATGGGGAGGAGGGTGTCAAGGGGGCAAAAAGGAGACACATCTGTAACAAAAATAAATTAATAAAAATAATTTTAAAAAAGAGTTCATGTATTTTAAAATAAAAGCTCATATTTCAATTTTAAGCCAAAAAGGTAAATATTTCACAGTACATTTTTTACTAGAAGGGGCAAAATCTCAAGTCAGTTGCATACAAGAAGTTAAGATATTATAATTGTAGGGATTCTCTTTGTAATGAGAAGGGGAGGGAATAGTTTCATTGAGACAGGAAGTCTGTCTTCTGAGAGAAGATGGTGATGTTAATATGTATCATGCTATAAGTCTAAGCCATAAGGTATTGAAAAAAAAAGTTATAAACATGAAGAGAGTTATTCAATCTTTCCTTCTTTAAATCCATCCATGACACTGCCTGCCCCAGGGTCAGTGACCTCAAGCACAAATCAGATCATGCCACATCCTTGCCCAAACCTTTTCATGGCTCCCTACCGCTTCCTGACTACAGTTACTTTCTTTTTAAAATTTTTTTCTTTATTGATTTTAGAGAGAGGAGGGGAGAGGGAGAGAGAGACAGAAACATCGATGAGAAAGAACATCAATTGGCCACCTCCTGTATGCCCCCACTGGGGATCGGGCCCACAACCTGGGCATGTGTCCCAACCGGGAATCGATCCGGTGACTCCCTGGTGCACGGGTCGTCGCTCAACCAGTGAACCACACTGGTTGGGCTACAATTTTTTATTGAGGTATTCAAGTCCCTTAAGATGTGGCTCCCAATGCACACTAGAACCTTATCTCCCCCTAGTCACCTGTCCCAATACATCTAATGCTGTAGACATGGCCAGCATTCATTGAGGGAACCCCGCACACAATCCTTTCTACGCCTCACCTACCTTGTTTCAATTTCCAAGAATGACCTTCTCCCCCATCTCTACCCGTTGAAACCCTACCATTTCTCAAGGCTCAAATGTCACTCCCTCTGCAAAGCTTTTGAGCTTATCCCAGCAAATCTCTCTGGTTTAAGTTACAGTTGACTGTGAGGTGCCGGATGTCCCTGTGGGCTCCCTGAGGGCAGAAACACGTCTAGTGCTCACATTGGCAGCACATACGCTAAAACCGGAATGATACAGAGAAGATCAGCAGCGTCCCTGCGCAAGGATAACACGCAGATTCATGACGCAGAAACATGTCTCCTGGAGCTTCCTCTCATCAATCAGCTCTGTGCCTTGCACATGTACATTACCAAGTCAATGTCTGTGGAGTAGCATTTCTCATTCATTAAACTATGTGAAATGGCACAACGTTTACTCATCCAACAGGACCATGTTTCATTGAGTTAGTCTCCTTCATTATGTTTTTATAAAATAGTCCCCCCTTTATTTGTAATTTCACTTTCTGTATATTATTCAGTCAACTGCAGTGCAAAAATATTAAATGAAAAATTCCAGAAACAAGTAATTTATTTTGCATGCTTATTTGAGGAGTGTGCTGAAATCTCGAGCCACCCTGCTCCGTCTTGCCCAGGACGTGAATCATCCCTTTGTCCAGTGTCTCCATGCTGTATGAGCCACCCTCCTGTTAGTCACCCAGCTGCATCGCCACTATCAGACTGACTGTCGTGGGATCACAGTGCTTGTGTTCACGTACGTTTTACTTAATCACGTCTCACTCACCTCACTTCATCTCATCACGCAAACAATGTGGCATCTCACATCATCACAAGAAGAAGAGGGAGTACCACCATACAATAAAGTATTTGAGAGACCACATCACATAATTTTTATTACAGTATATTGTTATAGCTGTTCTTTTTATTAGTTGTTTCTGTGGATTTCTTACTGGGCCTAATTCATAAATTGAACTTTATCATAAGTATGTATGTATAGAAAAAAACATAATATATAGCCCGGCTGGTGAGGCTCAGTGGTTGAGCATTGACCCATGCACCAGGAGGTCACCAGTTTGATTCCCTGTCAGGGCACATGCCCAGGTTGTGGGCCTGATCCCCAGTGGGGGTCATGCAAGAGGCAGCCAGTTGATGTTTTCTCTCATTGATGCTTCTATCTCTCTCTCCCTCTTTCTTCCTCTCTATCTAAAATCAATAAAGAAAAATAAATTTTAAAAAATAAAACATACGATATATTTATATATATAGGGTCTGGTACTATCCCAGGTTTCAGGCACCCACTGAGGGTCTTGGAATGTATCCCCCATGGAAAAGGGGAGACTACCGCATGAGCCATTCTGTTCTTGATCCCAGCCTTCCTAAGCAACCAGAAAGAGGCCCTTGGTGGGTGGGATGGCATCTGCAATGCACTTCGGTTTGAAATACAGCCTTTGAGTACTTACCGACAGTGAGAAATTCCATGTTATGCTTAGAGACATTCCAGAAACCAATATGTAATTGAACATTATAGTTTATGTCAAGGGAATATGAATAAGGTTGTAGTAAAACAACTGGACTACATAAACGTGTTTATGGTTTTCCTTCCTGCTCCCCCAAAACACACAAGTGCATCCTTCCCTTCACAGAACTCCATGAAACGAATCTCTACTGTGCTCCCGACAAAATCATCTTGAAAAGGTCTGTAGAACAGCTTGACTTGGTGCTGGGACCTCGGGACGAGATGAACCAAGAGGGCCTTGTCCAACTGTTAGACTGCTTTTTATGCACTTCACTCTGCCAGACGCCGCCGAAGAATATCGCTCTGTGTTTCATTACACACCGTGGGTACTTGGTATGAGGTTGACTTCAGATACTTGTCGATAAATAAATCCACTCTACATTTCCTAGCCTGTCTCAAAATGTTTGATGTACAGAAATGCAGGTATATTCAGAATGTATGTGTTTAAAAAAAAAACACGAGAGCTGCCATTTGAAGCTGTTCTAAACAGAGAGTCCCTCTGCACCCCCAGAACCTCTCTCATGGTCGCTTGTGCTCAGCACCTCTCGCAGGTCAGGCTGTGAGCTGGATGCTGGGATACGGGAAGGATCACACCCACCTCTGTCCACGTGGCGCTGATGGTGCAGTGGAGAAGGCAAACTTCTATAATAAATACCTTAATTCTGTGTAATCAGTGAATTCTGAATAGCACACCGAGGTGAACAGAGAAGAAAGCTGGGGGGACTCTGGGGCTGAGCAAATAGAATAGACTTCACAGACTTCATAAGGCGTGTGACACGTGCGCTGGATTTGGCAGGAAAAGCAAGACTTCGAATGTGGACGGGGGACAAAGGGCAGCCCAGGCAGATGGAGAGGTGTGTACAGAGGCACCGCAGCATGAAAAAACCTGCTCGGCGTAGGGAATTACGAGTGCTTCAGGGAATTACCACGGAAACGTAAAGTGGATGGCAGGGGAGACGCAGGAGATGAGGCTGGTGAGAAAGGAAGGGCTGAGGTTGCAAAAGATGTGGCCAGCCTGGGGGCCAGAAGCTTCAGCTTTGCTCCAGGAGTGATTGGGAGCCAGCGGACGGTCTCAAGCCATCAGCAGCATGGCCAGATGTGGGCTTTAAAATGCCTCTCTGGCTGGCCAATTTGGCTCAGCGGTTGGAGCCTCTGCCTGCGGTCCTGAGAGATCCGGGTTCCCGCTAAGGGCATGTACCTCGGTTGCAGTTTGTCCCCGGCCATGGTTGGTTGTGCGGGTGGCAGCCACTCGATGTGTCCCTTTCACATCGATGTTTCCCTCTCTCTTCCTCTCTCTCCCTCCCACTCTATCTGTACAAAAAATGGAAAAATGTCCTCGGGTGAGGATAAAAAAAATAATAATAAAATAAAATAAAAATAAAATACCTCTCTGTGGGGAAGTAACCATTGCTGTTGGATAGTTTTGAATTGACCTTTCAGATCCACCCTCTGCTCCCTACTCTGTGTCCAGGAGGCTGACCCCTGCGGGCAGCATTCATGGGTTCCTTTCCGCCAGCTTGCCTGCATTTGGTGAGCACTGGCAGAAAACCAAAGGGTGGGAGGAGCAATTAGGTACTGTACTATTTAGGCTTTGTTAGGGAAACAGAACCAATAGGAGAGTGTGTTTATGTAGTCATATACACATATATGCATGCAGGTATGTAATTATATATGTATGTAGTTCTATATATGTACCTATATATATGAGAGAGAGAGAGATTTTAAGGAATAGCCTCATTTGATTTGCAGGACAGGCCTGTAGGCTAGAGACCAGGGGAGAGTTGTTACAATCTTGAGTCCAAAAGCAGTCTGGAGGCAGAATTCCTTCCTCCTGAGAAAACCTCAGTCATTTCTCCTATTAAGGCCCTCAACTGATTGGATAAGGCCCACCCACATTATGGAGGGTAACCTGCTTCACTTACAGTCTACTGATTTTAATGTTTATGACATGTAAAACATACCTTCATAGCAGCATAATTTTATGACCCCAGACTGGGTACTCTGGCCTAGCCAAGTTGATGTATAAAATGAGCCATCACAGGTTCTTATTGCCTTCACCCCTCACTGCCAGGCTACGCGTTGGTACTGGCTTCCATCGGTCCAGTTGGCTCACCCTGACCTTCAGCTACAGCTCTCTCCTTGGCCTTCAGACCCAGGAGTGGTAACGGCGTCCTGTCGTTGCTAGCCCTCGACTGCTCTTAACCCTGTCCACACTTTGTAACGGTCTCTTCATTAGACTCTCCTCAGTGACACCATTACATTATTGTGTTTCTTTGCTGTCAGGATTCTGACATGACTCTGTGCCATCTTAGGGATCATAATCTTAAAAAAACAAACAAACAAAAGAAAACAGGCCCTGGCCGGTTTGGTTCAGCGGTTAGAGCGTCGGCCTGCGGTCCTGAGAGACCCGGGTTCGGTTCCCGCTAAGGGCGCGTGCCTCGGTTGCAGTTTGTCCCCGGCCCTGGTCGGTTGTGCGGGTGGCAGCCACTCGATGTGTTCCTTTCACATCGATGTTTCTCTCTCTCTCTGTTCCTCTCTCTCCCTCCCACTCTACCTGAACAAAAAATGGAAAAATGTCCTCTGGTGAGGATTAAAAAAAAAAAAAAAAAAAAAAGAAAACAGAATACATGAGCCAATCAAACACAAATCTTCAATGGATGGTAGCCCTACAGGGTGTGAATCATAGTTTTGTTCAATGATCTATGTGCCTGTCATATGGTAGATGCTTAATAAATATTAATTGAATGAACAAATAGATCTCCATCTTTAGGTAAACAAACTTTAACAGTTCATAGAGAAGACAGATATGAATTCATGGTTAGAAGCCCCTAAAGAGAATAATAATATGTTTAACAGGGATGGAAAGTTCTAAAAATAAAAATACCACAAATAAAACTGCAAATGAGTTCAAGAAGAATGAAAGCAATTTTCTTGATAGCTTTAAAGAAGAAGAAGAAAAAAAAGGTCAAATCGGTAGTTTTCTGACAAGGAAACATATTTGAAAGAACATGCACAACAGAAACCTAGAAGAGGCAAGATGTGTTACGTAATTAAGGACAAATCCCAGACTGACATACCCTATGTGAAAAAGACCAAGAAGACTGTAACTCAGATAACATGAAAATGCTAAAGCGAACAGAAGGACCATGTCAGTACAATGCTGGAACAAGAGAGAGAACAAGAAAGTTCTAGAGGGTGTGTGTGTGACAGGATCACCCAAGTACCATTGTGCAGTCTTCTTTATTTTTTAAAATGTTTTCTTTAATGTATCTTTATTGTTGAAAGTATTACTGATGTCACCCCCTTTTCCCCATTGATCTCTTCCACCCTGCTCCCACCTCCCTCCGCTCCTAGCCTTCACCACACTATTGTCTATGTCCATGGTTTATGCATATATGCGTATAAGTTCTTTGGTTAATCTCTTCCCACCCTCCACCCCCACCCCCCACCCCTTCCCTCTGAGATTCCTCAGTCTGTTCCATGTGTCCATGTCTCTGGATCTATTTTGTTCATCAGTTTATTTTGTTCATTAGATTCACATAAAAGTGAGATCATGTGATATTTGTCTTTCTCTGAATGGCTTATTTCACTTAGCATAATACTCTCCAGTTCCCTCCATGCTGTCTCAAAGGATAAGAGATCCTTTTTTTTTTTTTTACAGCTGCATCGTATTCCATTGTATACATGTACCACAGCTTTTTTATCCACTCATCTATTGATGGGCACTTGGGCTGTTTCCAGCTCTTAGCTATTATAAAAACACTGCTATGAACATAGGGGTGAATTTA